TCATATATATATTTAGTGGCCATTCCTACAAGTCCTTAATGGGGCCATTTTTCAAAAATTCAAAGTATGCATATTGTTTAGAATATTATTCTGACCATCTTTTGTTCAATATTGCTTATCAAAATATGCCCCCTTTTTGAGATATAAAGCGTCAAAGATTTGACATTCTGGCCCCTTGTGACCCCTAATTACGTAACATATGGTCCTAATTGTATCATATATTGTTGCAAATTGTTAAGATGAATACCTTTGCTTCTATAATGCATCACTTAATTTTGATCATTAAAGAGTTAAAGATGAAAAACTTTTTGCCCCTTTGAGCCCCTAATTTGAGGGGCCAGCCCCTTTTTCTTGATATCAAATGAAAGGTCTTGTGATTTCAAAGACTTTTTGTTCAACACCTGTTCAGAGATTTCTTTTCATTGTGGAGATATGATTCATATAAATATTTAGGGGCCACCCCTACAAGTCCTTAATGGGGCCGTTTTACAAAATTTCAAAGTATGCATATTGTTGAATACATTATTCTGACCAACTTTTGTTCAATATTGCTTATCAAAATATGCCCCCTTTTTGAGATATAAAGCGTCAAAGATTTGACATTCTGGCCCCTTGTGACCCCTAATTACGTAACATATGGTCCTAATTGTATCATATATTGTTGCAAATTGTTAAGATGAATACCTTTGCTTCTATAATGCATCACTAAATTTTGATCATTAAAGAGTTAAAGATGAAAGACTTTTTGCCCCTCTGAGCCCCTAATTTGAGGAGTCAGCCCCTTTTTCTTGATATTAAATGAAAGGTCTTGTGATTTCAAAGACTTTTTGTTCAACACCTATTCAGAGATTTCTTTTTGTTTGGAAGATATGCTGCATGGAAATATTAAGGGGCCGCCCCTACAAGTCCTTAATGGGGCCATTTTACAAAAATTCAAAGTATGCATATTGTTGAGAACATAATTCTGACCAACTTTTGTTCAATATTGCTTATCAAAATATTCCCCCTTTTCAAGATATGAATTGTCAAAGATTTAGCATTCTGGCCCCTTGTGACCCCTTATTACGTAAGATATACTTAAAAGTTGAAAATATGTTTTTGCAAATAGTCTAAATTTAATAAAAATCGAAAAATCGAGCAGAAAAAGTGATAAAATTTTTTGGTCAAAAGGGGGATCGAACCCGGGTCGCCCGCGTGACAATCCAACGCGCTAACCATTCGGCCATCGGGATCGCCGCTTCGCGTTTTCAAATGCAAATATCTCGAGATTGGCTTTTTCGATTTTCAAACAAATTACATATTTGGCTTCTGCAAAAGGGTCTCTATTCAATTCTAAAATAAAAATATTAAAAAAGAAAAGTTGAAAAAATACGTTTTTTAAATTCGCTTCCGGTTTCGACCGGAAGTACTGACGTCGCACGTAAAGGCGATTCTGCAACGCTATAAGTCATGAACTATCATCTCCAATTAATCTTTAGTTCATATCTAAAGCAGTTTTCGCTGCTAAATCAAGACAAAATTGCATTTTAAAATCAGAAAATTGTATATATCTCACGACCGGAAGTGACGTCATCAACGAAAAAAATTTCCAATAAGGTTCAGATCAGTACCTATCAGATGTTAAAGTTTCATGAGAATCGGTCCAGTAGTTAACGAGAAATCGCGTGCACAAAATCGGTAAGAATAATAATAATAATAATAATAATAATAGGGAAAAAGAAACCGAAGAATAACAAGAAGGTCTTCCGTTGGAGACGGAAGACCTTAATAATAGGGAAAAAGAAACCGAAGAATAACAAGAAGGTCTTCCGTTGGAGACGGAAGACCTTAATAATAATAAGAAACAGAGTAAAAACAATATGTTCCCCAACTTCGTTTGGGGAACATAATAAAGAGTTTGAGATGTAGAACATTTATGATTAAATGAAAATTTCATATTCTTTTGCAAGATTTAAACTTTCAAAAATCTGATTTCCCATAAGTAGACATAACTACAAATTTTTATGACATGTAAATGTTTATAGCAGTATATGATAGAAAAATTTTACATATTTATATATGTTTTGGATAGTATTGAAATTATTATTAAATTACATTTAATCAAATAACTAGTCGTTGTTTTTCTTTGCATGGAATTCTTTTTACATAAGTTCGCTAATACTGTATACAGGGAAATAATCGTGCCCGTTTTATTTTTCTCCCTAATCGCCCTACTCACAGGAGGGCAAATTTAAGATGGGGCGAAAATTAAAAAAAAATTAGAAAAAACTTTTAAAAAATAGTACGATTTCTTAAAAAGAATTGCAACTGGGTGAAGTCTTAGAGAGCAAAATAAACTTGGCAAAAAATAACCTTGTATACAGTAAGAAGGATACTGAGTTTTTCAAGGCCATTTCCCGTCTATCTGGAGTGAGCTTTAATTCTAATCACCCATTGTTCAGTACTTTTCCCTTCTACATATTGGTTCAGTCATATATGTATATAGACCCATGCTAATGTCTCACAAGGAATGTATTATATGTATGATATAAATTCCAGCAGTAGGTATTATACTGATTTATAGCCCATACATAAGTTTTGTACTCTGTATAAAACGTAAAACTCCTGGCAACATTTTTGGGAACATAAAGGCTCTCATGGTATTCCTTGTAGAGATACTTTAAATGCTAAACATCAACACATTATGATATAATTAATATAATTAAAATCTCTGATCTTGCATACATGTCGTCAATAGATTTTTTTTGTTGAAAAATTCTTATAATTTACATCAAAACATGTACACTATATGATATCAACGTATTAAGATCTCTGATCTTGTGAACAGATTTTTTAAAATTAAAAATCATTTACATTAAGCTTGTACAGTGCACCTGTATGGTGGTATTTTGTTTAATGTATTTTTCTTGGACTTCTTTAATTATAGCTTTACTGCAGATATTTGATTTTCTTTACTTGTTTGTTACTATATTCAGCAACAGATTGTCATTTGTATCTGCACACAGTCCACAGGGATAACTCAGTTCACAGTCTATATAACGGAGGAACTGTCCATTCTGGTCTATGATGTGGACACAGTCATTGTTAATATCAGCTGTAAGGATGTGACTCTGACTGTTTGTGGTGATTCCTCGTGGACTGAATGGTTTGTTCTTTGGAGCAGGAGTATGTCCAGTGTACCTGAATCTCAGTTTCCCGGCCTGATTGACCACCACTACTGCATTAATTTTATCATCAGGCACACAGATATCCTGGTTCCTGCTCTCAGTAATGCATCTTAGATAAAAAGAACTTGGTGAATAGAGAGGTTTACTTTTATCACCAAACTGAATGGTTTGTTTCTCTGTGGAGCCAGAGTAACGGACAACTTTTGTTTGTTTGTAATCACTGTCCATGATAACCAGGAGGTCACCAGAGGAGGTACTACAGACACCGCGAGGTATCCAGTTCTGTAGTCTGATCACCTCCTCTATCTTCTCATTCTTCACAATGTTCACAGTTCTTTCATTGTGATCAGTATAAACTAGATCTCTACTTTTTGTCACTGTTATGTTAGATGGATAGAATCCAGACTTGGTTCTGATTGACTTGAGTAGTGATCCCTGATTGATGCCAAAGAGTTTCATGGTGCTTTCAGGTCCACTTGTCCAGATTTCTTTATCACTATGACATGCCACATTGTAAAGGCCTCCATACCCAGTGTCTATGGTGATGACAGTCTCTGGTTCATCAAGCAGCTGTTTGACTGGAGGAGAGGATCTAGCTTCTGGTGATTTCTGCGTTGTCTTCATGCTGTAGCCATGTTTATCTGAAGTTAAAGAACTTGATGATAAGGCTCCAAACAGTTTACCAAGTTCTGTGCCTTGGATTATTCTAGGTGTAAATTTCGGCAAAGATGGTATTATTTTTTCTGGAAGATATATTTGTGTCTTCATATCAGATGTTACACTGAATAGTTTAGAAATGTCATTAGAATCCACTGCAACATCAACTGAAATGATTTCATCCTTGATGTCAGACATTGTCTTCTTTATTTCATCCAGATGTTTCTGTAGAGTTTGTAACTGTGTCTTTTTCATCTCATCAACTTCCGCTTTAGGTTTCTTGACAAGTTTGTCAATTTCTCTGTGCCAGTCTTCTCCATGTTTTGTTATGGCTGTTGAGAGATCTCCATAGTTTTTTTTCTAAATGACTCATTCTGTTTTGTACATCAGACGCAATGTCCTGGTAGGTGGGATAAAAAATATCTTTTAATTCAAACTGTTCTTTTATAATCACTTTTTTCTTCTCATCCAGAATTTGTAAAAGTTTTGACAATTCATGACCCAAATGTTGATTCGATGCAAGGCAATTGATGTAGACAGGAATATCACATTGTTTACAGTACATTTCACATCGTTGTTTATCATGAGATGTGCATACAGGAAAGATCACAGTGGATTTTCTGTTCTTGAAGTCAACAATTTTATGAGTTTTTGAAAGATCAGCTGAGGCATGTTCTCCCACACAGGCCTTACACAGGTTGACAAGACATGTATCACAGTGCATCTGTACCACAGCGGTCTCACACAGGTCACATCGCATCACGTCCTGGGCACTGGTACGGGGGTCCATTATCAAACTTGGACTGTATTACTGTATTGAACTGTTGAAAGAAATGGAATTTTAAAACGCATGTATCAGTATTCTTAAAGTGTCTTGATAAAATGACAGTAAAACATATATCGGTATGTATTTTTATACAGGAATTTATTTAAGGAATCACTGTCTAGTTAGTATAGTATGCCAGGGCATCAACGATAGTGGGAAACATGGGATAATTTGCATAACAGGCGAATTATCAAAAAATCAACTTCGGTAACTTTAAAAGAGTTATCAAAGAGAAATAAATTAGACATGGAAATATTTAAAGAAAAGCAATGCTCATTGGCACACGTCCATGCATTACTCTAGATTACTATTGTATACATGTTAGTAAACTAGCGTACTGCATGTAACAGTCGTACATACAAAACAGACATGCTTATATTTGTACAGTTTACAAAGTTCAGCTGATAGAAAACGAAAGCAGTATCTCTCCCAATTTCCTATCATATATGACCTTAGTAATTGGTCATTCTAAACAGCGTCTACTTTTTTTTTATTATTTTGTTAGTTTTTCAGACCAAAAAAGAGCAAATTAATGAAGTTAATTGAAGTTTAAAAAAAAAAAAAGAATCGGTCCATCTCCATCTATTAATCTGATTCTATTACCTGATTTTATTGGCGTCTTGTCAGCCTAATGCACGTGACCCACTGAAGTTATCTATGTAATCGAGTAAATCTACCTGTTATTTATTTATAGTTCCTGGTCTATGTATATTGGGGACAGTGCAAAAATGAGTGCAGAATTAATCTCTAGCTCACTATAGTTTAAATTTCTTATCATCTGTTGTCCTTATATCTGTTCATATTGATTCAGGATCTAGGACCAAATGTCCTCAGAAGTTTTTCATGTCAAACGTAGCATTTTTTCTATCTCTATAATTTTTCATTTGAAATTGAATAATACAAATTAAAAATCTCATATATACAGATGAAAAAATTATATTATACAAAGGGAAAATTATATAATACAAGTAAAATTAATCAAATGAAAAAATACAGTAAACAAATGGAAAATAATATGTTACAAGGACATGAAATAGAAAACCAAATAATAATTTCTCCATTCTCCATATAATTTTTTGATACTGTTAACATGGGTTTATATGTTTGTATACGATATAGGTCTGACCGCCCATTTTCATCTTTATCATTATAAAATTGTAACACTGCTATAAGCCGTAATATACTGTATATATCTTCTGCAATAAAGAAATTGAAAATTAAACAATGCAAAATAGAAATATTCAAAACAATTAAAAATATAATACAAATGAAATGGAAAATTACGTAAAGAATCCGAAAAAAAATCAGACAATTTAAATGGGGGGGGGATTGAATATTGCAACGTTTCACCTGCCATAGAGAAAAGAATCAAATACTTGTGAAAAATATTGTAGAAAAACTTCATTTTCAGTATAAAACAAGAAAACGATATCATGAATGGAGTCATCATGATTAAATCAAGGTGTTCTAATTTATCAATGAATTTCTAAACAACTCTATTCTTTAAAATTATAATGATATTAATCTCAGGTGGTTAAAATCTGAGTGAATCATTGATCTTTGGGTAAAATGGAGATGCAAAAAGACTCCTTTTTAGCTCACTTCAACGAAGTTGGGGGAGCTTATGTGATACCCTATGCGTCGGCGTGCCATGTTGAGGTTTTTTTGGTGCAATTTTCGTTTTAGGAACTTCTAAGCCCTACCTTGATCAGACATATCAAAAAGTTTCCAACATGTGACTTTTGTTGTATTTACATGTACAGTTCATATGTAGTAACCCTGTTTGTTTGCAGGTTTTTATTTATTAGAGAATCATTTCGAAAGTAAAATGCACTAAATTTCAGCATAATATGTTGGGTAAAATTGACAGAAATGGCCTTTTAACTTGATATTTTTTTAACGAAACAATATACATAATTATATACATTTATCAAGCTAAGAGTAATTTTAGTTTTAACAAGGTCAGTGGGCCTCAAAACCAGCAGAATACTTTCTTACAGTTGCTTAAGATTATTAAGATTCATAGGCTTTAAAACACAGTCCCTGAAGATGTAAGTAGAAATTTTATCGGAACGCAAATTTAGCGGTTTCTTCTTAAAAAATATGTACCGTATAAGTAGAAATTTTAGGAAGGATTTAATTTTGGCATTATTAGCGAGGCTTTTGAAATCACTAAAAGTGAATATCGCTAAAAATAAATATAGTGCTTTTTGTACTAGCTTCTTTAGTGAAAATTTCTAAATCGCTAAAATTACTTATCACAAAAAATAAAATACCAATTTTTAAGTAGAAATCGCTAAATTTGCGTCTCGCTAAAATTTCCATTTATACGGTATTTTATTTTAAGCAGGATGAAATTTTAGCTACTTTAAAAAGCGCACTCAAGAAACTTTTACAAATATAGAGAAATTAATTTTTAGCAATATTTAGTTTTAACGATCTTGGCACCCTCGCTTATAATGCCAAAAATAAATACTCGCGAAAAATTCTGCTTATACGGTATTAAGGAACATATTTCAGAAAATGTGCATCACTCTGAAGTAATTTTTTTTTTCATTTGATTTTAATTTTAAATTTATTTATCTGTCCAAAATATATACAATATGAAAAAAAACATGATTAACGGAAACAATAATATCTTTTTGTATTTATATTGCATGAAGCAAGGAAGGTATTTAAACACTTGTCTAAAAATTGCTTAGCATTTTATTTCCGTTCATTAAATCGCAATATAATTTATTCCCATGAAGTAAAAGCTTGTCCTTGTATAAATGCAAAGGAGATACATTTCATTTATTTCTCAGTTTCGTGTCTCACTTATTGCTTAACTTCCGCCATTTGCACACGCAGCTGTTTAACGGCGAGAAACAGCGAGTTCTGTATCAATGCAAAGCCTGCTTGTGTCCTCCTTACGGTGTCGGCTTAATTGGCGGATCCATCAGAAGGGTGGATTCCAATGCTTTCAGTCTTTCTGATATATCAACCGCAGTTGGATTTTGCTCAATAAGCTTAGCTGCATAATTAGGCTTTTTAAGTTTTGATAACACCTTTGATGTATTTTGTTCCATTTTCGAAATTTGAAATTCTATTCCGCAGGCCTGAGAGTTGTTCTGTCAAAGCTAGCACTGCAGATTCCTGGGAGTCCTTAGTGTTTTTCACTTCTTTCCGTTTAGCTATTTCTTTGAGATTTTCAATATTACTTCTACGACAAATATGTTAATTCTCAAGAATCACAATTTACTGGCCTACAGGCAAATTTTAGACTACAAGAACAAAGGCATGGCTTCAAAGAAATGTTTCGATTGGTGTTGTATTTATGAAGTAATTTAATTTTTATTTAAAGTCTTATCTTACACATTGCATCTATACAGAAAACATTTTGAAATATTTTTATGTCTTTCATTATGGCAATCATTGCAGATATTTGATTTTCTGCACTTGTTTTCGTCCACGTTGAGCAACAAACAAATTATCATTTGTATCTGTACACAGTCCCCAGGGCCAACTCAGTCCACATTCTATGTAACGGAGAAACTGTCCATTCTGATCTATGATGTGGACCCAGTGATTGCTAATATCAGCTGTAAGGATGTGACTTTGACTGTCTGTGGTGATTCCTTGTGGATTGAAGGATGCAGCAGGAGTATGTCCAGTGTACCTGAATATCAGTTTCCCGGTCGGGTTGAACACCACTACTGCTTTAGCTCCATTATCAGACACGCAGATATCCAGGTTCCTGTTTTCAGTTATGTAGCAAAGATAACAAGAAAAGATAGGTTCACCTTTATCATCAAACTGAATGGTCTGTTTCTCTGTGGGGCCAGAATAACGGACAACTTTTGTTTGTTCGTCATCATGACTGTGCATGATAACCAGGAGGTCACCAGAGGAGGTACTACAGACACCTTTAGGTTCCCAGTTCTGCAGTCTGATCACTTCCTCTATCTCGTCATTCTTTACGATATTCACAGTTCTTTTTTTGTAATCAGTGCAGACTAGATTTCCTCTTTTTGTCACTGATAAGCTAGGTGGTGTGCCCCCTGACTTGGTTTTGATTGACTTGAGTTGTGATCCCTGATTAATGCTGTAGAGTTTCATAATACTATCTTGTCCGCTTGTCCAGATTTCTTCATCACTCAGACAGGCCACATTGTAAAGGTTCCCATACACAGTGCCTATAGTGGTGACAGTCTCTGGTTCATTAAGCAGCTGTTTGACTGGAGGAGAGGATCCACCTTCTTGTAATTTCTGTGTTGTCTTCATGTTGTATACGTTGCCATGTTTATATGAGAACTTGATGATAAAACTCCAAAGAGATTAGAAAGTTCCTCTCCTTGGATTTTTCCAGAAGTAAATACCGGGGGTATTGGTAAAGGGGGCACAATTTTTTCTGGAAGATTTTTGAGTCTGCTCATATCAGATGTAACACTGAATAGTTTGGAAATGTCATTAGAATCTATAGCAATATCAATGGAATCGATTTCACTCTTGATTTCAGACATGTTTTCATTAATTTCATCCAGATGTTTCTGTAGAATTTGTAACTGCGTGTTTTTCATTTCATCAACTTCAGTTTTAAGTTTCTTGACAAGTTTTTCAATTTCTCTGTGCCAGTCCTCTCCATGTTTTGTTATGGCTGTTGAGAGATCTCCATATTCCTTTTGTAGCTGACTCATTCTGTTTTGTACATCAGAGGCAATATTCAGGTAGCTTGGATAAATTGTATCATTTAATTCATTTCTTTCTTTTATACACATATCCTTCTTTTCACCCAAAACTCGCAAGAATTTGGATAATTCATGACCTAAATGATGATTAGATGCAAGACAACTGATGCAGACAGGAATGTCACATTGTTTACAGAACATTTCACAAAGTTCTTTATTATGAGATCTGCAAGCAGGATAGATTATAGTAGATTTTCTATACTTAAAATCAACAATTTTATGAGGTTTTGAAAGATCAGCTGAAGCATGTTCTCCCACACAGGCCTTACACAGATTGACAAGGCATGTATCACAGTGCATCTGTACCACAGCGGTCTTACACAAGTCACATCGCATCACTTCCCGGGCACTGGTACAAGGGTCCATCATTACACTAAAAACAAAATATCAACTTTCATGAGTATATGTCTATGGAGTAATAAGATATATGGGCCATTAAGGAGGCGGCTTTTGCAGACATACACATGTAGATAAACAAGACATCATGTTCATGAATTATTGAAAATTTGAGTTACAGAGATATTTTTCACATGGTTAAAGCAGGGAGCTCTAATTTTTTTTATTGTACAAAATGTTCAAGTAATTCCTACCTTAATCACCTGAATGCAATTATGGTGGCCGTCATCTCTATTCATATACACTCTGATCATGTGATCCACTATATGTGTTATCTACCTGTCAGGTGGTTTATCTTCCTAATTTATTGTGGGGATTTAAATCAATCTTTGCAATAAGAGGAATGTGGTGATAACGAACAATATTCAATCTCAAAGTCCATAAAACAATACAAAATAGGAGCAGAGCACACACGGACCTCCGACACATCAGAGGTGGGATATCCAAAAGTAGTCAAAACGGTACAGAAAATATAGATAGATACAGTTGAACTTGAACACCGATATCTCAAAAATCAGTCATTTTATGTATTTTTGCTTTGGTTATCTCTAATTATTGGTTATCTTGAAGTTTAGTCTGGGTCTCACTGAGTTCAAGATAACTAGGTTTGCCGTGTTTAGAAATATCTCCAATGTGTAAACCAGCTGATTTGAATCTAAAGAAGTTCCGTCATGATTGTAATATTTGTTATCAAGTTAACAGAGTGGCATTGTTCAATAGCGCGCGTGCATAGAAGATACGCAGTTTACAAATTTCAGTTTAAAGATATGAAAGTAGATATATCTCCTGCATTTCCACAAAATTTACAATTATGATTTTGTCTTCGAATAATGTTTTAACTTTTAAACAAATGTTACTATTTTGCATATTAAAATATCCTAAGGAATAAACCATTATTGAAAGAATTACCCTACAATTATTACCGGTACTTGATTTTATTGGCATCTGAAACTTCAGCATAGCATGCATGACCTATCTACCTGTGTAGTCTACCTGTAAGTTAAGTTTAGTCCTTGTGTCATTAATTATAGACTTTGGTCTGTGAATTGAGGACAGCGAATAATCTCTAGCTCACATGTGCCATTAAAATTACTAATTGTTTGAATTTATTGATAATCTGTTATACCAAATTGATAATTTGTTTCAACAAATTAATAAAAGATATCACTGCGAACTTTTTCTCTCGATATATTTATGAAACAAGTTGCTGTCCTTTAAAAAAGGACTGCAATACGTGGATCATATGCATGTGTTTCTAACCGAAATGCAAGTAGACAAAATTTCTAGGCTTGAATATCCCTAAAATGATCTGCCCACTTAATTCGACTGATAGTAGTTTCATAGCAAAAATTGTTGAATTTCAACTCCGATTAGCCTATAGTTTTGTCATTGTTAAAAATCGGGCTTGAATCATGTGTCATGAACACTTTACAATTCATTTCACGCAAGCTTTTCAACATGTCGGACGTTCTTAGTGAATTTGATTTGACTTTTTTTTTACTGAGTTTTAAGATTTTGAGAATTTATCTTCGAGCCAGGCACTCGACAAATATGAAATCACAGAAGCAAATATCAAGGAGTTTAACTATATGAAGTTCAAAATGGATTAATCTTTTTAACGCCTGGGAATTTTCAACCGAGATTTAAAAATAAACGTATTTTAATTTTGTTAAAGGCTAAGAAATAGCTAGACATGTTCATTTTCTGTAGTTATGACTTTGAGAAATAAAATCAGTTTTTTTTTCTCATGACCTGATTTCTGCCTCCTGCAGTGATATATGAAGGGGCGTGGAAAGTATTATCGCATATGTGATATGGGATATATCACCACAGAAAGATCAAAGAAAATCACCGCAGATATGCGACAAATCGAATAGGGCGGGCGAGTTGTCTTAGAGGCGAACTCTCTAGCATTCTCTCGCATGCGTAGTCTGACTTTTACCCGAGGCATCCGGTTTAACCTCGCTTATATATTTTCTACCTGTGGTCCTCAGGGTCCACGCAATCAAGTATCATTTTAAAACACGTATTGGGATATAAATACAGGTTGGTCACGATATGAAATTCAATAAAGCCCAAAATTCTACTTCATATAAGTACAAAAATAGACCTACTAATAACGGGTTCAATTGGTACCCATCGGATTTCCAATAGACTGAACATTGGAAGACCTGGTCTCCAAATACTATTTAGATATTGTCAGAATCTGGAGCATCCTTTTTTTTTATCAACCTCAGAGTACTTATGTGTACAATATAACAATAAGAATAATTTTTAAACAAAATAATTTTGCAAATACTAATAAGAAGGTAAATAATTTTACGAGTTCCATTTTTATTAAAAAGCAGAGCTATGTCAATAATATAAAAAACCCTGGACTTTAATTGATATTTGGGAATAGTTGTATAGAAAGTTGAAAAGTCAGAAGATTGTAGATTGTAGACTTTGGTAAATTTTCGTGATTTCAAAAGTTTTTTTAGTATTGACATCTGATTTACACTACTTCTCGAATATTTATTGCACAATACTCTTGAACTTTCACCTTCAGTTCACTACTGTTAATATCTTAGTGAAGAGTAAAAAAAAGATATAATCTCACTACAAATATCTAATTGTGACTCTGATTTTCAATAACTTGTAACTTTGGCCTGATATTTCAAAATTCACTGATACAAATAAACCAACAGGTGGGACATTCTTGTCAATATTTTTCAGATTAGGGGATGGCGGACTGTTTAATAAGTTCAGAAATTTTTTTGCATCTACCCTTTTATATTAAGTATACTGTTCATTTCAAGATTTTATACAGTACAAGAGGCCCGTGGGTCACATCGCTCACCTGAGCATTGTGGCTAGAAACAAGAAAAAATCAATTCAGCAATTACTTAAATCGTCCAGACCCTAAGAGAGGGAACAATCTGATTAAAAGCAAACCCTTTGATCCGCTTATATATGCAATTTATCACATGCATAACGTCAACGCTAAATGGCTTCGTTAAGTTCCAAGAAATGGCATTTCCAGGCAGATTTTTTTCATAATACTCAAAGATAAATACGTATATAGTGTTATATAATTAATGAAAAGATTTTTTTTAGTTTCCTCGCCGACATTTAAAAGTAAATTTCACCTCGGGGTATATAAAGGCCATAACGCCCCTTGTTTTTTATCAAACAAATTAAAGGCGTCCATTTATTTTATTCAGACCCCCTCCCACACACACCCACTTTATACATACACACGTAGGGTAATAAAATCAAAGTTTTTCTCATTATTTTTTCTTTAGCAGCTACATGTATAGCAAAAATGCTAAGGGAGAAGTATCTGTTCTTAATCTTGTTAACTTGAAATATGAAGATAACGAGCAGTATCCAGTCTTGAAGTCCAATAAAACAATACAGATATGAAGCAGAGTAGGCACGGACCTCAGAATTCACTTTATTACAGATTTTATTAAATCAGACCGAAATGTTTCCAAAAAATGTGTACAGACAAACAGAAAACATAACATGCATTTTTTTCATCATATCTTTATCTGAAGACCTAAATTTAGAGTGGTTTACTGTTGCTTTGTCTAATCTAATAATCTCTTTGAAGTTCCCTCCTTATTGAAATTAATGCTTCAAGTAAATACAATGCTATCATTAATACACAACTTAGGTGTGTTTATATAATGTATCAAATACATCTTAAATACAAATTCAGATTTTTACTCTAAATTTAATCACAAATCATCAATATCAAATTAAGAGATTAATTAATATTTCTTTATTGAGAATCTCAAAATTGTTTGAACATAAATTGTCTCATTAAATGAAAAAACAGCAAAGATTAATTTAGCTATTTAGGCCTAAACTTTGACCGACACATCAATATGTAACTCAATATAATTTCATATTTGATCGTACTTCTTATGAATAAAAAGAATGATTAATACTTTTAGCCTCTATTCAATAATCTACAGTTGCGTGAGACTGGTTGTAAAATCCGTTGGTGTCTTTAAAGCATAAATCCCTGTTTTAACTCCCTCTTATTACCTATAAGATGTTCTTGCCTCCTTATATGTCTGTATAAACGTGTAGTGGTTTGGATTTTCATTTCATAGCCATCGTTTCGAAATTCCTATTTTACAAGTATTTGCTGATATTTCAGTCTGATAATTCTATTTACCATTTGTTTTCAGTTGTTACTTACGTAAAACCCTTTATTATTTGTCTTTTATAAGTTAGGACATGAGTTGACATTTCACATGTTTTACATTTTAAACAGGAAGTGTCATTCATGTTGGCAGTCTTTCCATAGTACTTTTGATAGCTGCGTTCTGATTGGTTAATTTAGCTTTAGGATCTTTGATAGTCATTGGCTTTTATTTTGGGTCTAGCTAGGGTACTAGTATTTAAACCCGTGTTCGTGTAGTTTTCTTCACTTGGGTTGGGGAACACAGCCTTATGGTTAGTTCCTCTTTTCTGTGCTAAGAAAACCTCATGGTTTATGAGCACTATTTGATTAGATACTTAGCGGGCTAAGAAAACCTCATGGTTTAACAGTTCTCTAGGTTTTAGCTTAGATTTATACTCAACAAAAAAAAAGAAACGCATATTGTTTTACCCGTCAAAGAAATTTTTAAAATGTACATAAAACAACTTTTTTTTTTATATCATTGGATACCCGTGACCTATTTAAAAGACAACAGGGGGTTTTAAAACCCAAGTGTTGAATTATCTCCCTTGATTAAACATGTTTATGAAAGTAGTGTTTTTCATGATTTCTTCTAAATCAGATGTTTATTGATATTTGGGATTTAGAGAAACTTTTAACACTCCTATTAAACCCATATTTAAGATTTTATTGCAGTGTTGATACTGCAATGCCACGCCGAAACAAAGATGAACACAACCAGGCTAACGATGATACTAAACGGAGCTACGCAATAGGAAGTTGCAACTGTATTTGGAATAAATTAATGGGCTTTGCAACCGTTAAACTAACGTCTGAAGACCACTATCTGGCCATCCGCAGGTAACCAAAACCAGGCAGGACCGTCAGACCCCCCCCCTTTCAGCACCTCATGCGATTCAGAACCTGTTGTAAAAACTGCTGCTACAATTGCTGGATGAAAAAATCAGCGTAAAAGTGCATGAATTGCTCGCAAGAGACTGAAATGAGATGGTATTCCTCCACGATATCCGTACATTGGAAACTCACTAGCACTGAGACGTCGCATAGTACATA